CCGACCTACCAAGGGTTCGAGCTGCCTTCAGATCGAACTCCAAGAATTCAGGAAGCGTAAGGTATGACCTGAAGGACTGGGGGTATTTATAGCTCATCGGAAAAATTTCCCCACCGTACACGTATAATCAACGAGCGGCTAGGATCTTCCTGAAAATTCGAAGCGTCGGAATATTTGGATATTCCGACGATAAATCCACCGCAACAGTTATGTTTTCCCACGAATAGGAAGTCGCCACGTGTCGAAAGCGAGTCGAATGAACTTCTCTGCCAGGTCGAGATCGAACCAGACAGAGAGGGGGCCAATGTTTGGGGGAGAGAATACCCTGGACACGTGGAGGACAGCTATTGGTGTTCCAAGATGACTCAAGAGTCATGCCCAGCTCGGACCGCCAAGATTACCACCACTAGCGTTGACAGGTGCTAAGTATGAAGGCCGAGGTGCGACCTGGCGAAGGTCCGATCTACCGGGAAGCTCGGTGGGGGCCGATGTGAGTAACTGTCAGCGGCGTGATTATCGGGTGTAACCGTCGGTCCCGAGATTACCGGGTGTAACCGGCGGTCCCGAGATCACCGGGTGTAATCGTCGCGAGATTAACGGGACTACCACCCATAAGTAGAGGACCTCACTCCACGATCAGGTACGATGATTTTTGACTTCGAACTAAACTGGGAATCCGACCTATACTGACTTGATCGTCAGAGTGCTCACCTTTTTGTGCAGGTCCGCCCAAGTGTTCAGATCGGTCTGGAGACCGAGTTCGAGCTGCGATCATAAATACACTGTTGTGCATATCCTTGCATAAACAAGATCAAATCTTTAAAAGATGAAATAGATGCTTTGAATATTGAGAATAATTCTTTGATTAAAGAAAATGCATGCTTGAAAAGTAATGTCAATGATGTCCTGAAGCATGATGTTATTGAAATTTCATGTGATAAGGAAAAACTTGCTTTATTTGATAAATTAAATTTCTCGAGCATGATATTTTTTATAGAGATTAACTTGTTAAAGCTCTTAGAGAAAAAGAGTCAAATCTTATAAATGAGCTTGAATGTGCTAAAGAAAGCATTAAGAATTTGACAATAGGTACACAAAAATTAGATAAAATTATTGTCATTGGTAAATATTGTAATGATAAAAGAGGATTAGGTTATGTTGATCAGAGTTCCATTTGGTCAACTTCAAAAACAATTTTTGCTAAAGCCTCCTCAAGTGTGCATAATGAAAATTTTCCTAATGTTGTGCCAAAGTGTGATGTGCATAAGCATGATGTACCTAAATTTGTACCTAATCATTTTCATGCTAAGTCTAAATTTGTGCATAATACTACATTTGTACTTATATATATGTCCTTATCGTGGAGTTAGAGATCATATTAGACCAAATTGCTATAAATTGTAAAATGTTCCTAATTATTGTGCAAAAAGAAATATCTCCCATACATCAAAATCTTTTCATGCTCATAGAAAGAATTCTTATGTAAAAAAGAATGGGCATAAATTTCTTGTAAGAGAAAAATCCATGCATAATATCTTGTGTTTTTATTGTGGCAAATTTGGACATAAATCTTATGCATGTTATTTGCCCAAATTAAATGTTTGGAACTAAAAAAAAATGGGTTACAAAAGTTAATTGTACTAACCTAAATGGACCCAAGAAAGCATGGGTACCAAAATCTTCTTGAAATTTTTTTGTATGTTGGCTCCAAAATTCAAATTTGAATGGTTGCTTGGTTCAAAGAGGAAATTATCATGACGGCAACTCTATGTCTCTCTTTTGGTGCTTCAAATGGAAAATCACCTTATTTGATAATTTTGTTTATTTCAAAATGAGTATTCAAGATTTTTTTTAATATATTGTGATATTTCTTGATCATTGTTTGAAGTATTGATTTTTT